ACAAGAGCTGTTGAGCACTTTTAAAGAGTGCGGAGCCAGCGATGGGTGCCGATCACTTGAAAATCTGGCCCTGAGCTCTTCCAAAAGTCAGCTCCCACATGTCCAATACACTCTGAAAATCACAGATCAAAGTACTTAACATTGCCTTCCCACTAGGAAGTCAATGCGCTGAAGATCTTACCATACCGTAACAGCCTGTGCTATTTCTGATACAGGGCTGTCTTGTAATATTGCTCCCCCTTGGGTTTCAATTTCCATTAAATAAGAAAGCAATTTTCTAGATCGTGATGATTCTTTAAAGAACAGCATGAGAGAAAATACATGCACTGTTGTTAAAAATATTTGGTATTTCCATGACAGTTCAGTTAACAAACAGGAAAATACGGTCTTAATTAAATGGGGAGGAAAAAACCCCCAAGGTTGAGTAATCAAGCCCACGAAAATGAGAACATTCTGGACAATACAGTGCTATATTCTGCTCTCATTTAGATTGGTAAAAACCAAGACCAGTTCCACGGGATTTGGGTAAGCTTGTTCCAGATTTAGTTGGAGAAGCCAAAAGAAGAAATTTGGTGCAGCTGACTGGATTAAGCATCTAAGTAACATCAGCTCAGCCATGCTGTGTTAAATTCATGCCATAACATATACATTAAAACTTAAACTTATTGTTTAAGATAAAAAAGGAAAAGAGCATGCTATTGTATCCACTGGAATTGAATTAATAACGGCAACATGGAAAGTCATCGAGACTGTTTAGAATTTCCCTAGGCATTGGCTCTCATCCTTCCTTTATTCTGCATTAGCATGCCTAAAAGAGCCATGTAAGTACCATGAAGTGAAGCAATACTGCCCAAGAGCCACTGCAGAATTGGCCCTCTGGGGTCTCATACTGCACCTGGAAGTTATTTGAGACAGAGAAGTTTACTGGTAACATCCTGATTTTTCCCTCACTACCAGCCTTCCCCTTGGAGCCTGCTTGGCAAGGTATGTTCCCTGTGACTTTTCCCATCACCAGTCAAGGATATGGCCAATCGGAAAGGAGTTAAAATTCTACAAACAATTTAGCAAACCAGAAGAGAATAGTGGTTTCTGCCCTAGACATGCTAACACTGAAGCACAGCAAAAGGAAGCTGACCTTTTGCTTCACCCTCAGTAAATTAATAATATCTGGTGCAGATGAATAACATGCGGGTAGATTCGGAAGAGGCAATGCCAGGGCCCCTCTGAAGCCGGAGCAAGACTTAAGTTTTCCTCCTCGACTACAGTCAGCTCCTGGCACTTAGAAGTGCTTAGAGGCAAATCTTACTACAAACAACGCTTCATCTTTGGGCCAAGCCTGAAAAGTCTCCGCGCAGTTTTTGGGAAGGGAAGAGGGTGAGGGGATTGGTGGGGAAGAATACAAGCAACAGCAGAAGGCAAATCAGAATGCAAGCCACATCTTAGCTGTAGCTATATACGTTTGTTCAGGCAAACAATGCAATATCAAAGGTTTTGTTTCCATTTCCAACTTATTTACATGTTGTCCGCCTAAACAGATGAAATCTCCTATAAGGCTAACACTGCAGCATGGTATCACGGTAAATGTAATAAGCACAGCCAGCTGCCTCAATTGTCATACCTTGTCTCTCTCTAGATACATTTGTCATTTGAAAGCACTCAACAGCCTACCCTGCATTTGTACTTTATGCAAGATTTGACACTGAGAAAGGAGAGAGGAATTAACATTTCCCAACAATGCAAAATCAACTACAAAAGACACTACTGAAGAGCACCTTTAATAAACGCGTTTATAAATAGACAACTACAAGGCCCCACGCAACCCAGGAGTAAGGCTAAGTGCTACTGACGCGCAACACCAATGCCAAAATAAAGCCCAATTGTTTAATCGATATTCAGTTTGCCTCAGCTAAACAAGATAAATTTGCCTGAAGGTGAATAAAAATAAAATGAGCGATTGTTAAGATAGTCCAAAGAGACACTGCTCAAAGGCAAATTCATGTGACGCAACTAAAATTTCAAAAGGAGCAGCTTTCCTCTGAAATCACTAGCCTTAGTTTTTACCTATGCAAGCTAATTACGCCCTCAGGGATAATCTTGATAAGAACCAGAAATTCAACCCATAGCAACCAGCTCCTGCTAAATAAATTATATCAACTTTCAAATCAATTTCTTCTTTTAACAAAATATGCATCATGTAAATAGGGCCTAATGGTGTGATCTCAGGAGGATCCTTCATAGACGTGAAAACAGAAATTAGATTATCTCCCTTCATAACAAAATGCACCAATAAAGGTTTCTGTGACTACCATATTATTCACTGGGTAAGTATATTTCAATAGGAAGCAGTTTTAACTAAACAGATGCTTGTTAGCATTAGCTGTTTGAAGCCTGCAGATTCACAAATGTCGAATTTCTTCTGTTGACTGGATGTCCAGAATGACAAAAGAGAACAAAAGCAAACGAACTATGTACTTACAAAAGGGAATTTAACACCAGAAGAGTAAATTCTTGTGCTCTGAGACATTAAAGAAGTTTCTTGGCAATGAAGCCTTGTGTTCAAGACTGAAAGCATTAAAAAAAAACCTGTGCGCACAGTTTTGATAGTGAAGGGGTGCTTTTTATGTACCACCCAACAGACTCCTTCTTCTTAGCACCACAAAAACGATCCAGATTAAAGCAGATCAAAAAGCCTTAGCAAGAAATGTAAGTTATATCTGCATCACTGCAGTCTCAAAAATATGTAAATTATTTCCATAAAATATGATGAAGGTCCCACGCTGTAGGATGCTGACCTTCTTCTTTCCACTCTCAGAGGCATCTCAAAAACCATGACGTAATAAAAGGTATTTCTAGCACTTCCTATCTTCAAAGGTTGGCGTGTAAACTAGAAGACATTAGAAGCCTCTGTGCACTCCCAGGCCCACACAATAACAGAATGCTTTTCCTTCTCATAAGCCCAGAAATCGCTTAGGAAGGAACCGGCTACTGCACTGTTTGATGCACAATGGGTTCTCCTGGACTCACTTTCAGCTGTGGGAACAGCCAGCCCTCCTAACTTGCACATCATGCCATCTTGGGGATGCACAGCACGGCATATTCCTTCTACCTCCCCCATACCATTCTGTCCTGGCTAATTCAACCCATCCCATCTCCCAGCTTTCCCAAAGACTAGGACACTATTACATATGTTTCACTATAGGAACAGCAGTGAAAAAATATAATAGCACTGCAGACTTCGCCAGAGCATGTTACAGTGCAGTGGCTTCTAGAACCACATCACAAAAGGGGGACTCTACCCAGCCATCTGGGAGAGATTCAAGGCTTCCAAAGACTTCAGCACGTAGTGAGATGGGCACAGGCATGGAAAGACTACAGATCAGTGTCCAAGAAGCTCATTTCTGAAGCCGCCTTTGCTGGATTCTTGTATGCCTAACTAAGCATCATATACAGTTTCATTTACAGTGATGCTAGATAAGGTAAAATGCATGCCTAAGATGGCATGGCTAGAACAGGGTTGGGTAAAATGGTGGATCCAGCCAGGTGCCAGATTATTTCCCAGCAGCCCCTAGCTATGCCACTCCAGCCGATCTCCATGGAGATCCTAGGAGCAGTGGGACCGTGACAGTGCGGGGCCTTGACAGTCCCATGCTCCCAGGGTCTCCACAGATTCCAGCCCGGAGCGGCACTGGCCGGGCATCATGGCCCCACATTGCCGTGGTCCTGCTGCTCCTGGGATCTTCAGGGAGACTGGCTGGAGCAACACGGGTAGGGGCTGCTGGGAAATGATCTGCCCCACGGGATGGACTTTGTCCACCCCTTTTGCTAGAACATGGAGCTGCTCCCTTTCAGACAAGTAAGCTGAGGCTTGATGAAGATCTTGGTGGCTGCAAGTGTTACCATCCCACAGATGTTTGATTCACATAAAGCAAGTTTAGAATCTCAGGTCTGGCTAAATCAGGTCTCCATATCACAGTAGGCACTACTTTGGAGAGACTCAGGAGACAGACCCCTAATTGCACAGAAACCTACCTATTCATACTGAAAAACAATGCCTGAACTCCTCTCCAATGAGGCTTTTAGCTCAATCAGTAGAACAACCTGGGGAAGCTTCTGCTACTACCCAGACCACACCTGTCCTGTGAACTGAGGCCTTTTGGCTGCAGAGTTGCCAATCTGGCACTTTTATGCATGTTCAAGCATGCCTTTTTTTTTTTTTTAAAGTGGCATTAAGTCCATTAACATTATTCTCTGTGGTTCTTAACAGAATAAATGGCCTCATTTTTCTCCCATGGATCATTACGATTAATCTGAATGACTCTTTTGGAGAAAAGTGTCAACCCTAAAATCAGAGCATGAAATTGAAAAGTAGCAGACAAAAAATGTAAAAGTACAATGTCAGGCTCAACTTAAAATGCCCTTTGAGAACTACTGGTACACAAAGGAGTTTTCATTCATAACAGTAATAAATAGGCTCAGCAAGACACTAGATGCCTTCAGACTCCCAAATGCTTATTCATACATTATTGAATGTGAAGCCAACTAAAGTTCTGCTCAATTAAAGATTTTAGGCCTGCATTGCTTGGCTTGAGTGACCTCAAGAGAGTCCCATTTTTGCATTCTGAAGTTATGGCACCTAAAGACAGATTCTTTCATACCTGCAATTTCCTGATGTTATAAAACCTACCACAGTCAAGAGCTTAGGACAATTGTTACCAAATTCTTTGGACTGACAGGCCTGTGTCAACCTTCAGAATGTCTCAGGCCCAGCCTTACAGGTCCAGCCTTATTAAACTTTAATTGCGAAAGGACAGGGTTCAAGGCAATCAGATGGCCAGTTACCAGGGCCTGACAGGCTACCAATAATTGACTAACCACAGGGCTGAGACAGCTCAGCTTTTGAAATCCTTATGTTGCATCTTTTCTGATTAAATACGATCTACTAAAGCTTTTAAACCCCAGACTCTGAACCTGATCAACATACAATCTTGGTGGACTTTCACCTTGTTTTGTAAGTGCATCTCTCAGAGCTGGCGTTATCATCTCCCTCTGTTCACTCTCCTCCTTTTTCCCAATGGTCCGGAAAGATCGATCCATCCTGCCAGCTCTTTCGTCGAGTTCATGTTCTTTCTGTTTAAAGACAATGAATTGTGACTATTTAGCTGAAAAGACAGTATCAAGATGCAGGCAAATTTCCCAACCACTTCACATCAGAACTAAGAAACCTACAGACTATGCCAGTGCTCCAAAAATGGAGCCTGCCTCCCTGCAAGCCTAGGGCTTCTCCCACCCCATGTCAAATGATGACCGTCCAGTACTCGCTGCCATTGATTCAACAGTTTTACACCTAAATTTTATAATCAAAATAAAGTTGAAATTAACAATTAAAAACTAATATTAAGGTGAAGATTTTTAGAAGGAACCTAACAGAGTTCACCATTTGTATCTCAAAAACTTTAATGGGATTTGGGCACACAAAATCCCCGCCATACAGATTTTCATCATCTCCATGTACCATATAAACTGGTAACAATCTGTAGGAATAACACCACTGTCTGCCCACTAAAATGCAGCAGCTGCCACAGGCTCAGCAGTGACCTGGTGGCAGCCTGTAATTATATAAGGGGCTAACAGGATCTGGGGGAACACCTGTTCACCAGAACACCTCAAGGGATGACAAGGTCAAACAGTCACAAACTCCTCCAAGACCATTTTAGGCTGGACATAAAAGGAAGACTTCTTTACTGTCCGAGCCCCCAAGGCCTGGAACAGACTCCCTCCAAAGGCGGTTTAAGCACCTACTCTGGGCTCTTTTAAGAAACATTTGGACACCTGTCTTGCTGGGATCCTTTGACCCTAGCCGACTTCCTGCCCCTTGGGCAGGGGGCTGGATTCAATGATCTTCCGAGGTCCCTTCCAGCCCTAATGCCTATGACATCTATGAAGCAAAGAAGAAAGACTGGAACATCAAAGCATCAGAAGAACTGAAAATCGAGAGCTGAAAAGAAACCAGCTCAAAAGGAGAAAGGCACGAAGCAGAAAATTGGGGGAGAAAGGTACAAAGCAGAGGATTGAAGAAGAAAGAGCTAAAAGACCAAAGCAACCCAGGGAAGAAGACAGAAGATGACAACAACCAGTAAGAGATGTGGAGGTGGAAACAGAGGAAGATGGCAAAGAAACACAGCGACTATAGCGGGGACCCACAGCTCAGGGTGAGGACGGTCCTAACTGACAGAGAGGCAAAAAGGAATACATACGTGGTCAGACATGCCTTTAGGGAAAAAACATTATTTGAGACACTGAACGTAAGGCCGGAGCAATCGACAAGCGTGCTGACGGGCGAAAATTGAAGAGCATGGCAATTCACTTTCTGGGAGAGAGAGGGCTATGAGGAGTCCTGGGACTAGTACAAGGAAAAACAAGGTGACAAAGCCCAGGGGGATTAAGTTCCTCGCCAGGGAGCAATCACGGGAGAGAGTCATAATAGTAAAGATGTATTCAGAGGTGATACATGAGCCATAAAGAAGATAGTTGGAACAAAGAATACAAAAAGTAGAGATGGTGAAGAGAGTCTTAGATAAGTACAGAACTTGAACGGGGGTTTGGAGAGTGAGGGCAACCCTCAAGAGTGAGGAATTCAACCGAGGAGGGATGAGGTACCTGCCATCAATCATCCAGCTAAGGCCCCACAGAGGGTATGTAATGTATTGTGGGCAATCCAAAATATGCAGCCAATGTGGGGAAGAGGGGCACATAGCAGCATATTGCGCATTAGCCCACTGCTACAAATGTAATGGGACAGGCCACAGGGATAGAGATTGCCAGGAGAAAATAAAATGTACAGTATGTAACAAGGAAGGGCACCTATATACAAGATGTCTGACCACCTATGCCAGCAAGGTAAGAGAGACAGAAGAAGAGATAAATTGTACAAAGAAGAAACAAAGAAGGAAGAGTGGAGATGGAGAGAAAAATCACCCAGAGGGAGGTACATGAAGCAATGAGAAAGCTGAGGAGGAGGAAAACACCAGGCCAAGATAGATTACCAAGTGAATTTTATGAGAAATTTTAGGCAAAGACCTGGTAGAATTATTTAATAGAATCTGGGAGCAAGGCAAAAGTGACTAAAGGTTTGCAGAAGTCACAGTCCTTATCTTTATAAAAGGAGAGAAAGAAAAACTAGAGAATTGGTGACCAATTACATTGCTAAATGCAGATTATAAGACCTTCATGAAAGTGTTAGCCCAAAAATGAGAGGCAATGTAACAGATCTGATTCATGAGGACCAGACATGTGCCATACCAGAGAGAAGGATTGCAGAGGCATTACGGTTAATAAGGGACATGCTGGTACATGTGCAAGACAAAGAGAAACACGGTGGTTATGAATATAGATTTGGAAAAAGCATACAATGGAGTAGAGCATGGGTTCATGCTTGTGGTCCTAAGAAAAAAGGAATTCCCAAATAGGATGATCTGGGCAATCCAGTTACTGTATGACACAGCCGAGAGCCAGATATTGATAAAAGGTTACTTGAGCCAGGACTTTGAGATACAACCTGAAATAAGACAAGGCTGCCCGTTATCAGCGGGGCTTTCCATATGTCATACAGCCACTGGCCCAGAAAATAAGAAGAGACAAGCTGATTACAGAGGTTAAAAACCCTAGTAAAGAAGAAATTAAGTGCATGCTGTATCATGGACAGCATCACAGTAGTAGGACAACACAAACTGTTGATTGATTGGGTTCAGAAAACATGCAACGGACCATGGCAAAGCAGCAGGGTCAAAAATTAATAAAAAGAAGAGCGTGCTAATGGGAATGGGGAACTGGGATGGGCTGGAAGACTGAGGTTTGCAGCTACAAATAGAAGTAATGAAGATTCTGGAAGTACAGATGGACATGAAAAGCAACAAGACTTGGGAAAAGATAAAATCGCCAAGATACGGCTGATTACAGCCTTCAGGAAACAGAGAACGCTGTCCAAACAAGGTAAAGGGGAACTGATAAAGACAGCATTATTACCAGTGATCCTCCATGTAGAAATTGCATTTTCTCCAGTGTGGCAACAAGCAAGGAGGACACAAAGAGAACTGTGCACCTTTTTCCGGGGCAACAAAAGGGAGTGGGTGGTGAGGCGAGAGATACACAAGGGGAAACAAGCAGGAGGATGGGGAATGCCAAACATCAGAGGTGTTTATTTACACAACATTCATTAGCAGAACGTGGATGGCGGGGGTAAAAGGGCAAGGGAAAACAGCAGGCTTTTGCAGGTATTTAGCTGTTGAAGTCTTGAGGACATGGGAAAGAGGCAAGGAGGGATGGAAATTGCCTTAGGGTTGGACCCCAAGAGTGGGGAAGTTCATGGTACAACACGCATCGTTAGAAAGGAACCCAAAGAAACGGGAAAATAGTAAAAGTCTGGAAAGGAATATAAGGGACAGAGCCAGAATAACAGAAGTGGGGAACCTGACCAAGAGCAAGTCTGCCAAAGTAGAGAAGGGGACGTGGGAAGCACACGCAAAGAGGAAACATGCAGGAATCATGGGGATGGTGGCATAAAAAGTATTACTGGTAAGAGAGAGGTTATGCAGATGGGGACTATTCTTCACACCATGAGAACACGTGCAGGTAGCCATGGATGAACTGCAAACATATGTTGAAAGAGATGAAGAGGAGCTGGGAGCAATGATGTGACTAACAATTGGAGATTAAGAGACTGGGGAGAGCTGTTCAGGGAAAATTCTGAGCGGGGAGAGGAGGAGCAAGGGGAATTACAAAATGGGTTGGGAGGAGACTGATGAAAGCATGACAGGTAATGCCACCTGAAGAGATGTGGGTGGCAAGGGAAGCCTGTTGGGCAGTTATATGAGAACCGGTATAGACATGTTAATATGATGTGGAATAAAAGGCAATGTTGATGGTTTAAAATGGATATATCGGGGGGGGGAATGCACCTTGTTGATGCTGCATGTAAACAAGAGGTAAATGATGCCACAGGATAAGAAGTGCATAGATGGATGAAATGGTAGATGTCAAAGGATATAAATGAGAAGATTCTACGTTTGTTTGGGGAAATGTTTTATGTAAAGTGATGTAAACTGGGGGGTTTTTTAATGTGGGAAGGAGAAAATTTTGATTTAATTGAAAAAAAAGGGGGGGGCGGGTAGGTTCCTATCAGCACTTAGCACCAGGGTAGGGTGTTAGAGCTTGCTCCAGCCTCTCCAAGCGCCAGCCTGATATCACAGTATCTCCAGGCTCGGTGCTCATTTTCTCCTTGGGGGAACAACTGCTTGGTTATTTGGTTTACTTGTTTAAGGGCCACATAAAAAGGCATCAGCAGGCTTATCCAATCTGGGCCATGTGTTTTATAGTCGTGCTCAGTGTTGGGTTCATTTACTCAACTTCATAGTTGGTTTCCATTGCTAAGCACATGCTGCTTTTGGCAGCAGTTCAATGATAGACAACGTAGTTAGTGAGATTTCACTGTATGCAATTACAAGACGAGGGGCTTGTTTCCCCATGCTAATTTGGGGGGAAACCTTGTCTTGTATTCAAGTAAACACATTATTTAAAAAAGGGTCAATTGTTCTTAAGATCCTGACTTTAAGATCTTCCCAAATATGGCAGCCATCTAAACGTGCCTAAAGACACACATGTATTGTATTTGTACTCTAAAAAATATCTTTAGGCACCCAGAGCTGGTTCAGAACAACCAAGAATTCAGAGCTTGTCATCACTTCCAGGAATTAGGTAATACAGATTATTAAAGCCATTTAGGGCCAAATTCTACCATCCGGTAACTGAAGCAGACTCTCAGCAGTGGAAGAAAGTCTGCTCCAACCTCTGTTTCCTTTCTTTTCCAGTTTGCTCAAAAATGCTATTAAGATGGAAGTAGAGCATTTCATTGGCAATTCTGCCAGCATCTTTGTAATTCATCAAAACTTCCCTTGAAAGGCTCACTATACAAAGAACTTGTCCATGAACATAAATGGGCTTTTAAAAAAAAAAATCCATCTTCACTCATCGAGACACTTGGACAGTAAAATATTAATGTTACTAAAAAAGTTTCACACATACGCAAGGAGGAGATAAAATCATCTTTTAAGTAACTATTAAATCCTGAACAA